TCACTCACTCACTCACACACGCACACTCACACGGCGACATTGGCAGACCCTTGATTGCCCCTTGCGGCCTGCTTTTGTGAGATGTTTATGCGATGTGGTATAGGACTGTTAGCCACTACCGCGCACACACAGACACACACTCACAGAATCCAGTCATCAATGATGCACTGCAGGCTTTCAGAGGCGACGGCTCGGCAGCAAGTTGCTGCTCCTTTGGCTTCCAACTAAAAATTCAGTCAGAGGCCACCTAAGAATTTACGTCTGGCAACACATGTCAAAGGATGGGGTCGCGATAGCAAAGCAGCTCGAAGAGAAGGAGCAGCGAGTTCAGGACCTGCAAGTGTGGGCACCATCCAACCCGGGGTCTTCCGCTTTGATGTCTCGCGTTGATGCAGGAGCTCCTGCAACGTCTGTCCATGACAGAGACGGCGCTGCGCGAGCCGAGCGAGCTGATGCTGTCGGGAGATACCGTCGCTTTCCAGCGTCGTGCACACCCTTTGCTTGTATGCAGCCTAGAGGAGAGCAAGAGCTTGTGTGAGGGGTTTCCCGGAAGATTGCTTGCTTGACTTGGAACTGAAAGCAACTCAAGCGAAGTTAATGCCTTCAAGCTCGAAAACCGAAAGGCCGTTAGGGTTGGTTGCTGGCTTCACCGGTACTCCTGCCGTTCTCTGTCAAGTGCTCCCCGTAGCCATTGATTCAGGCCTCGGATGCAGAACCTGAAGCCCCGAATCTTCTACAAGCTGACCCTCCCAGGTGGTCGCCGACCTGCACGAGCGCTTGAATTCGGAGGACCCCGGGTGCAGTTTGGTGCGAGGCATAGCGTGGCTTTGTGGGTTGCTCGGGTTCGACCCGCGGCTCAGGAGAAGCGTCGAAGAGAAACTGAGGGCCTGGTTGCTGATCGCGAGGGCGAGTTCCCGGGCAGTGAGAGTTGAGATAGCGGTGCATGTTTCATAGTTTAGGGTTAAGGTAATTGCTACCTTCAGATAGTTTTGTTTCATGACCTGGCACTGGCTTGAGTCGAGCCTCGGAGGCGGAGGATGTCGCTTCTTGTAGGTAATCTCCAACTCTGAAAGTGTTTGGCCTGCTGAGATTTGAAACTTGCATGCGCTGAAGTCAGTCAAGGTTGAAGCACCTGCGCCAGAGATTGAGTGGTGAGGAGAAGGCTGCATGGGACGAGCGGTGGGCGAGGGGCCTTACTGTCACTTTTTGATCACAGCAGGAACGTCAGGATCGGGATCAGCAGCTGCAGCAGTTCGAGACCAGCTTGCGGGACGTGAAGCGCGAGAAAAGCGAAGTGCACCCCGGCAGCATCTGAAGCACCAGTCCGCCGGAATGCCGGCAGATTTGCGTAGCGGCATGTCGCGGCATGTATACAACACACCTTTCGATCGATGCGCATCCTCTCTGCAAGCTGTAGGCTCACACGACTCTCAGCGAAGGTCTGGGGCTCGGCACGTGTCAGCCAAGGTGCTGCAGAGTGACAGAACCGCCCAGCACAAGTAGCGATCCGCTGCCTCTCAGCCATTAAGGAATCACAAATTGTTGAGCTCCAGCGGCAGCTGGCGGAAGAGCTTGCGCAGAGACAGGCTCAGAGCGGTTTAGGGCCTTAGGGGCAGGGAAGGTTGAAGGAAGAGAATGCTCCACTCTGGCAGGAAGCACAAAAACAGCTCGTGGAAAAGGACCCCGAGTGCACTTCATGATGGGTGCGGGCTGGCTGAAGGAAGTTTGTGGAATGGCTTCGTAGACCATCAACATGCATGTTTAAATTTGGCCATGCCTCAGCTTTCTGGTGGAACTTCACAGACGGGAAGCCACATTTTTTTGGTTCGTGGATTTCAGCAACAAGGCATAGCATATGAGTTCAACCGCATGTTTTTTTCGTTGTAGGCCTGCAGCCGTTCGTGCTGCCACGGCCATGCCCTACCCGGTACCCGGCCATCCCGGCCCCTCCTCGAAGCCAAATGCACTCACGCATCAACACAACCAGCACAGCACATCACTCATCCTGATAAGTCATGGTTTGCGTCCTTGAGAGAGGAAAGGGCCGTGAAGGACATGCGGGAGCTGCCACTGGAAAGGCTGCGAGACCGAGAGAGCGAGATCACATCTGCAATTTGTTCAATTTTCCGCTGTCGGTGAGTTGCTTGGGTGACCTGAGCCTGTGGCTCCCATCAGACATGTTCGACTTCGCCGGGAGTTGGGGATTCTGAGGCATTCTCTCACTGTATGCTGTGTATGGCTAGTGACGGCTAGTGACTAGTGTATCGGGCCGAGGACTGCAGAGAGGTTTTGGAGGATGTAAGGCTTGAGAGGCGAATTTCGATCGAGAGTTCAAGCCCCGTCATTCAGCGATTCTGCTTCAGGCTATCGGCCCAGCAGGCTGTTCAGGAACAAGTGATCGAGAAGGCGCACTCACATGATTGCATGAAGCATGACAGTGGGCAGCCCTCTTCTGAGCATCTCGGTACCCCTTCTGCCATCAACTGGACAGGAGAGAGAGGTCTGCAGCCTGCAACAGCAGCTTGCCGACGAGCTCTCGAAGCGCCAAGCTGCAGCTCGGCAGGAAGGTGTCCAAAGACGGTAGATTTCACTCCCGGGCACCCCCTCACATCAATGCATGCGAAGAGGCCGTCAGTGGTCAGTGCTGTCTTTTCGCCTGAAACTCCGGCGGGACTGCGCGGCGAGAAGTTCTTGCTGTATCAATCCGGTATAGCTACATAACTGCACGCAAGTCGGCGTCCTGAATCTCGATCTATTGTGTGAAAGTGCTATGGCGGGCAGGCTGGAGGTGGTTGGAGTGCGTGCTGTTTGTTTTGGTACTGGTACGGCCCGGTACGGCGTGGTTCGGCTTTGCTGCGGCTTTTCCTAGACGTGTCCTCTGGTCCGCCAAACCGGTAAATTTGCGACTGCCCACATCAACAGCCAGGCTGCAAAACACTTCAAGCCTCCTTCGCCTTCTTCCTGCCACCGCTCTCCCGGCTTCCGCCTTCTCCCGTCATCCTCTGCTCTCTTCCTTCCCTACCTCTTCTCCTTGCTGCATCTCCTCCATCCCTGCGACCTTCAACACAACAACGGTGACGATGTGGCCGTAGACATTCGTGAGACTTGGACGAACCGTAGAAACGACTACCTCCGACACACCCGATGCTTGCGGCTGTTGCGCAAGTGCCGGCAGTTGTGACGAGCACTACTTCAACACGCTCGCTTCTTGTAGTTGTATGCAGGGAAGATGCGAGGTCCAAAACGTCCAAAGCCGCTGCAGCTGCGAGACGAAGCTCCGCACCCAATCCCTGTCACAGTTGCAACAGAAGCGAGCTGTACATTCGCAACAGACAATGGCCCAGCCACACTATTGCAAAACAACTCCTTACCGGTGGCAATATTTGAGAATGCCCATTGCGGGATTGGGAGGTGTCAACCTTGTGCGTGAGTGTGTGTACACACTTGAACATGGTACTAACCAACAATGCAGGGTGACGGAAAGGGTGTGGGGGTGGGCCGATGAAGCTCTCCACAACTCCGCAGGATAACGTACCTGCACGCATCGGACATGGGCTCCGGCGTCGGCAGCTGGGAGATACCCTCTTCTCATCTCAATTTAGTGTGCCATTCCTTTGTGTCCGGCACACTGGGGCAGAACCCTAGCCCAACCCATGTTTTTTTGCATGCAATTCCTGATGTCTGGCATGCGTTCGCACCAAAATTTTTTTAATATCATGTCCTGCCCTTCTGTGTCTTCATTGTCGGTCCCTATCGCATGTTCTTCGCAGTAACCCTTGCTAAGCCAAAGTATATGTTCTTGGCACGCAATCGAACAAACGCACTTCAGCGGCCGTAGTTCAGCGGACCAGGATCTGGAAAATGGCTGCAACAGGTTGTCAACCCAGTAGCTTAACGAGCTCCCTGCGGTGCGACTTGTTCAGCCGGGCGGGTGGGAAGATTTGCCTTGAAACACTGATTGGGCATCATCTGCACCGTCTGCCGAGATAAGCGTGTTGCCCAGGTTCAGTACCAGATCATTGAGAAGGATCGCGTGATCTGCGAGCTGCAATCACAGCGCCCGGGCTAAGTGTACATTCGTTGACATGTTTGCGATGCTCGGCTTGACGCATTCTCGTGAATTGCAGGGCTGCCAGAGTTCACGCCAAGGATTTCTGAGCAGAGTTCCACCACTGCCCCACAAGAAGGATACAACGCGGATGGCACGATTCTTCAGCCCATCGAGGAAGACGGGACTTTGAGTACTGAGGGCTACGGCTCGATCTCCGTTGCTGCATCAGTGGCCGCGAGCACGGCCCAGGCGACACCAAAGAAGCTTCCTCCGTGGTTGAACTCGCACAGCGTCCGTCAGTCGGTGCCAATTTCCACGCCCGCCTCGGCTACCCGGAACGCGGCGGAGGTCTGGCTACCTCAAGGAAACTTGTCCGGCATTCTCGTCTCTGCCCTTTTGCATTCGCCAACCGGTCATTTGGAAGGTCTGAAGTAGATTGAACTGCAACTTCATGCTGTTAAGATTAGTTGTCTTGTTGCGACTCTAGCGTGGTCTGTTTGACTGTTCCGTCGCTCTCTCGCCTGGGTTGAGGAGGCTTTGATGCGTCATTGCCAGCTGTGAGCACTGGCCGAGGAATGGTGTCGCCTTCAACCAGCTTTCAGCCTGGGCGTGTTGGTGTCGTCTCTGGGCCCAGCTACCAGAGCCCCGGGGTCAACTACCGTGCGCGTGTCTATGGTGTGTCTCCAAGACACCAGAACAGCCATTTGCCAAACCATTTGGCACGTCGTCTTGCCCAAGGGGCATCGACCTTCACATAATCAAATGGTCATGTCAGTAAGTGGCTTAATTCGGAGACATAGCAGTCTCTCGAGATTAAAACAGGACCGGCAGTTATCGAAAAATTTCTGTGAGCCGCTGATGGACCCTTTTTATACTTGTTTGCCGTTCAGGTGGGATCTGAGTTGTGATCACAGCTTTGGATCTCCGCCGTTGTTCCGCTGAATCGCGGAGGTATCGTGCTTAGAAGCACTCGTTGTAGCGGATCCTGCCGCAGGGGCACTCATCGAAGACATTTGGACGGACTTGTCTTGCAATGCATATTCTATGCGGATTTTCTCCTAGCGGTGTGCTGGAACGCTGTTTCGACAGGCACCCAGGATCCACAACACAGGTCTAGCGCCAGGTCATGCAGGGCATGACATTTGACACCGTTCCAGGCGCGAGAATTGCCGTGGCTAGTTTTCAGGAAAGGCTGAAGCCTCCGACGACGTAGCTCAAACAGACCTCAACCGGATCACCATGCGCCAGCGATGGAAAAGTGGAACGCGCAGCAACATGCCACGACGCAGCGCCAAGTTTCGGGGCTAGAGTCGGCTAGAGTGCCAAAATGCGAGGGCCTGACGGACGATCCCTGGCGAGACTGTGAAGCTCTCGGTAAGTCTCCTTGCCCGGCGCTCCAGAATGCCGGTCGCACGAGGCGAAGACATAGCCAGGGAGGAGTGCTCTGCGCAGTTTGCGCTGCGCATAGCTCGCCGCTCCGCTGGCTGCCGATCAGGACATGATCTCCTTCCTCGCGGACTTTGCCAGGTTGAGGTCCGGAGCCAAAACAAAACGAGAGCCAAGGCGAGGCCCAGCCCCGCATGTCCTGAGGCAGTATGAGGATGCAGGAGCTTGGGCGCACGAGGTCCTTTTCTTGGCTCCCTTTCTCAGATTCGTTTTTGGGCAGTTGCAGGCGCTCCTGCGACTGGATGAGTGGGGAGATACAGGCAGGCTAGGGGCTCTTTGAGCGAGTGGGAGCATCGAGCCCTCGTGCAGGAGGCCTTCCTGGCGTGGCCAGCTCAAAAAAGGCCAGCGGTGCTGCCGCATCGCTTCCATGCATGTCTGTGTGTGTGCGCGCGCTGTGCTGCTGGCGAATCCTCTTTCGAAGGCTTCAGAAACGAGAGTGCGGCAGCTGTTCGAGTCCCACATTTATTTCTCAGCAAATGCAGCCGCATGAATCACTACCTACTTCTGGCCGCGATTCCTTTGCTCAGGCGTGGATGGGGTTGCCCCGACACAGACAAGCCTAGGCCTCAGAACTGAATTTGAGATCTAGATGACAGCTGCAAGTCGCCGATGGGCGCCTTTGCCTCTCCTTTCGCCACTTGCACCGACAGGACGATCGAACTTTCGCGCAGCAGCTTTCAGTCGGAGTCGACGATGTCGAGCTCAGGCTGGGCATAGAACGGACGGAAAAGGAAAAAAGGCGCTAAGCGAAGTGTGTGCGTTCGACCTATAGACCCAGGCAGTCGAAGCACCGCCGCAAGCTCAGCTCGCCGGTAGTCTCTCTCGGCGCTTTCTGAAACGCAGCGTTTGAGAAGATGATGACTTCAGGCTCCTTCTGATCCTTCCGGCTACTCCATTGCCAGAGCCTCCAGACTTGATGAGAAGGTGTTTCCGGGCAGCGTCTTTGGCTGCAGGGATCTTCGCATGCAGACTCCGGTCGGGTCACTCAATGAAAAGCGATTTGCGACTTGACTTTGCTGCAAGAAGTTGGATATCGCTTGAACCGCAATTCTGCAGCTTGAGCTTCAGACATCAAGAGAGTGGACTAGCCGTGGACCAGAAGCACGAGAGAGTTGCTGCCGCGATGAAAAACCATTGACGTGCATCCAACACGAAAGCATGCGATGATTTGCACACGTTGCAATGGCCTCCGTCTCGGGGCTGCTTCTGTTTTGCGGTGTCGCAGTGAGTTTCCTGTACTATACACTGTGGGTATTATTGTTGCCGATGTGGGAGCCCGAAGATGCTCCATGGCTGCATGCAGCCTTCCCCCCACGCATCTGGGCATTGAAGATACCGGGTCTTATAGCCATAACCCTAGTTGCTGGCTTGACGCTGTTTGTGGGCCTGGTGCTTGCTGGAGTGGTCGGTGAGGAGGAGGAGGCCAAACATCACTAGCCGCTAGCTGCTAGCTGCAGCTGCTTCCAGATGGCCGGGCAACACGTGGCAGTGCTCCTGCCCACACACGAAGTCGAGCAAGACGCCACAGGGTACCTGGACCGTACACAGAAGCGCGGACGGCCGCCGCAAGCAAAGGCAGCCCCTGCTTGTCTCACGAATTGATTGCCGCTCCGGAGAAAAGCTTGTCTGTCGTGCCTCGCATCAGATGGTGCGCAGCCTTACGTAGTGCAGGAAGTGCAGAAATCATTGTCTTGTCCAGGTCCGATGAGTCCTCCCCTTTGGAGGACACCATGCGGCACTGTCTGTAGCCGCTGAGCATGACGACATGAAGAAAAATAAATATGCCTTGCATCGTTGGAATTGCAGGAATACGGAGCGACCGCTGAAGGGCTGGGGATCGCCCGGCAAAACGAGGACGGCACAGCCCAGCATCAGCCAGCCCGAAGTTTTGATTGCCAGGAGACTTCCAAAAATGCCTCGTGGTTGGGAGCCTGTGGAAAGAGGCCGTGAACCCTGGAAGGTTTACTCGGGCAAGTGTCGCCAGATCGCCTTGAGGCCCACTCAGCCCCTTGACGTGGCCAAGGCCAAGGCTCGGATGCAAAGCCGCGTGATTCGGAGGCTGAACACTGCCAGGCCCGACAGGCCCGAGGATCCAAGGGACACTACGCCGATCGCAGGCCGACGCCTGGAAGCGAGAGGCAGGCGTCGTCAAGCCTTGCTTCGCAGGCGAAGTTCCCGAGAGTGGGGGCGATGGGCCGCACGGCAGAAGTATCAAGGCAATGCATATGTTGCCGAAGCGACCGTTGGCTTCTGAGGTGGATCAGTGCTGTGTGGACAGGCACCGTTTCAAGGATTTCTTTCGGGGGCAGGCTCTGAGCCAATCAGGGCTGTAAGATGCTGCATGTCGGTGGCTTTGCAGGCATGAGAGCAAAAGCAGGGGCCTATGATGCTTTTGCTCTGTGCCTCGGCATGCTGCCAGGAATCTGGAGCTTTGCCGCTTCTGATCCAAGTGCGCCTTTCACTCAAAAGCCCGAAACAGCAGACGAAACATCGCGTTGCAGTGCACAGGCAAAGCCGTGATGCATTGTCTTTTTCAGGTCCTCGCCGTCTCAAGTGAGCTGAGCATAGCTGAGGGAGAGGTGGCCCGTGCCCTGTGCTGCCTTGTCGCCTTTCGGACCGGAAGGCTGGAAGGTCTAGGACTAGGTGTTATCAGGCGATAAGAAAGTCCAGGATCAGCGGAGCCATGTGTCTTGCAGTCCGCAAGTCCATTTTCAAAGCAGAGTGCGATGTTTCACTCTTGGCGGAGCAGCCAGGAAATTAAAGTCAATTAAGTGACATGACATGTCAGTTCTTCACGGGCGCCATTCAGCCCTGCGACACCCTGTCCCAAGTGCATAAGCTCAATGGTTACGTAGTCAGTGAAGCGGTCATGTCGAGTTGAGTTTATTTTGTATTTCTTTTTTCCGGGACGTTGGTGGGGGTGGGGCGATGGCTGTCTTAATAGGAACACAGGTGCTTTGTCAGGCATACTTAGTCGCACCAGCTCGAAGTTGCAAGTTTGTAGAACAAGGAGGGTTACTCATGCATTCGAATTTGTTGTTGCTTTAGCGAACCATTATGCACCTGTGTGTCATGAGGCAGCTTCGCCGATGAGCCAAGTATGCTAATGGTTTATGTTTCTACGAGACGTACAGACGTACAGGTAGATCCTGACAGGGTCATCCTGCGCACTTGAACTTGAGACCTCACTGCTTCGGAGCAGATCTGCGATTAAGTGGCGAGTGTGTGTTGCATGGTGATCGATAACTTCTTTCTTCGAATCCCTTTTCTGCGGGCGTCGATGGTTACGGCTGCGTGATTGCTTGTTTTTGCGCAATGCCATCTGTCTGCTTAAAGCTTCTAGGGGCTGCCCCGGATCGTGGTGTTAACGATCCAAGGCAAGCAAGTGAGCATGCGACAGTTATTTGCTAGATTTTCTGAAGTCTCTGCTCCTGGCAAGCCGTTGAGGCCCGTGCTTGGCGGGCATGGCGCCTGGTACTTCGCACTTCGGCGGCAAGTAGAGTCTAAGCTTTTGCATCGTGCCCTTGCGGGATCTGCTCGAAGGCCAGCTAGGCACCTTGGTTTCACAGGTTTCACCCTGGAGGCTGAGTTAAAAGATACTACTAGTAGACGAAGGCACTGCGTGCATGCCGCCCGCCCCACTCTGGTTGTCTTTGGTCGGGCCCAGGATCGATTCGAAGAGGTTCGCCCTGGTTCTCGCATGGCAGGAGTAAGATTGCAGCGCTGCGTGTCGAAAGGCCGGCCTGCAACGAAAAAGTGGAGGTGTGGGTCAGGCAGAGACACTTGGAGGCGGGGACTGCCTTTCTCGATGCCGCCTTGAACTGCGACTTCGAATGCAGGCGCACAAGCAAAAGGTCGCAAGGCGTCCGATCATGTCCGATGTGAAGCTATTCGCAGTGACGTGCCAAGTGCACTCTGCTTGGACGGTTCGCAAACCGAAGATGCCTACATGCTAGGATGCTTGTCTCGGCGGTGTGCGCCAGGTCTCGCTCTTTGATCAACAATCAATGGTCTGTGCGTAGGGCGCCCGGATCGAGCCGGGTAATCGTCCAGATGGCGAAGAATCTGCAAGTGCAGTGACTAGTTTCCCGTACTGTAAGTTAAGCGCTTGCTTGTTCCGGCGACCTGCGTCGTGGACAGTCCATGGAGTCCAGAGTATGTAAACAGCGGCACAGGTGGAGGCAATGCAATTTTCGGACTTCCAACGTAAAAAAGTGATAGTGTTGGTAGATATCTTCAGCTACGGAGCCTGAGAGGCGAAGAAACAAAGCTGCAGCCCACGCGGTTCCGCAACGCCAAGAAGGAGCAGCTGGCTGAGGACGTCGGCATTGAAAGCTGAAAGATTGCTTGCGCTACTCTCGCGTCACATCCGAGTCGCCCTAAGTCTGGAGCCCCGTGACGACCGCTGTGTCGAAGGAGCGCTACTCAAGCATCGAAAAGGAGAACCGCCGCTTGCTCACCCGGATGCAGGAGGGTGTCCGCTCTTTGGATGGAGTCAGGGTTCGAGCGCGGTCTCGAGGAGATCGAGCGCAAGGGCTCGCAGAAAGCCGTCGCAAGCCTGGTCCTAGGCTCGCATTGGCTCCTGTCACATGCAGCACCAGACGGAGGCATGCATGCGTTTATGTTCAGTTGCGCCGATGAGAGGTGCAACTGGCTCAACCGCAACGTCGGGGCCCGAGTGCAAGCAGCGGAATGATTCAGGAATTCTTGTTTGAATTCGTCGCTATTCTTTTGCGTCAAGGGTCCAGATGCCTGTATAGAGCCCGGCCTAGTTCTCTGCGATGCCCAGCTTGCGACGTGCCGCTGCACTGATCCCCCTTGTTTGCCTTGTCGTGATTGTTCATGATGTGGCGAGCGCCCGGATTTCTGCTTTCGTTGGCATCCAGGCAGTGACGCGTAATCATCTTGATCGAGGTCTGCGTGCATCGGCACAGTCCGCGGAGCTGGCAGCAAGGTCCCGATACGTTCCCGGCCGGCGTTTGGTAGGCAAGCGCCGCGACACCAGACCGCCTTATGTGCCGGAAGCGAACAATCGCCGCAAGATTGCGTGGCTACTCATCCTGTCAGGACTTGCTGGCTACCAGGCAGGCAACAGCTTCTTGGACGAGCGCTACGCAACCAATTCCGCGCCGGAGTTTGTATACTCTTCACCTGTCATCCAGAAAGGATGCGTGCTGATGGCACGGCCGGGTGACACATTTATCGATCACCAGCAATATTTCCACAAGTCAGCAATTCTCATTCTCAAGCACGGTGGGGAGTTCGATAAAGGCATCATCATTAACCGCCCATCGGGGTTCAACACCCACCAGCTTGGAATGCCTGGCCCGGCATGGAACATTTGGTTTGGTGGCGACTGCGAGGGCCTTCGTGCACCCCACTACACCCAAGTCAGAACCTTCTGTCTGCACGTGTCAGAGGAGTTTGCAGAGATGTCGACGGAGGTTGAAAGGGGCGTGTATTTGATCCGTTTCGATGCTGCGCAAGATCTGGTGAGCCAGGGGCGTGCCACAACAGACGACTTCATGCTGTTCCTCTGCGTGTTTGCTTGTTGTTGTTCATTGCTTGTACGATAGTAGGCGTGAGCTCGAGCGTCAGGTCTAGTGACTCTAGTGCAAGAATCAGAGGATCTTCGCAAGAGACCTCTTCCTGTTGTCTTGGTAGCGGCATGTGGCCGGACAGGTTCTTTGGCTACTGTGGCTGGGGACGCAATCAGCTCCAAAGGGAACTGGATGCTGGAGTCTGGAAGATGGCGCCGCGGATGAAATGATAACGATTAATTTGCTTATATCGCTTGGTTTTACCTCCTCTGGTGCTGCTTGTGCTGCTGCAACTCACTGCTGCTGCAACTGCCCTTGAAGTATCTCAGCAGCGTATCAACGCAGAAACTGTTGAATATTGTTCAATGCTTGCTTGCGGCTGTGTGCGTGTGTGTGTTTGATTGTGTTTGTGTGTTTGTGTGTGCGTCGCAGCATGCACAGGCCAGCGTTGACAGCCACATCATCGTTCGGGAGCTCCGGGAAGAAACCAAAGAGCTGAGAGCCCTGCCGGAGGTTGGACTGGACGATGGTATTGGGCTCTGGCGCCATTTGCGGCTCTTCTTGCAAGATGGGAGCAACATCCCGATCTTTACACTGTTCAGCTTTGAGATTTCCTACTTGCACAATTCAGACGTCGAGCCATTTCCCACTACCTCTTCTCCAGTCGGTACCAAACACAGCAGCACCGCAGCCTCGCAACACCCTGAAGTTTGAAAACGGTCCCCGAAAAACCACCACAGGAAGAATCCCTTGCAGTAGTTAGACACGTCAGGCTAGGCGGCTAGACCTTTTGCAGGTATTCGCGCATCGATGCGGGCATGCCACAGAAGGATCCTCGAGAAATGAACATGATGGGCATTGATGCAGTGGAGGGCGATGCTTTCGCAGACGCCATGCTCCGGCAATGGCTTATTCAGAACTTAACCCCACCGTAAAAGTTCAGACGGTGGTGCCGACATCCGGTATGGTGTGCTGGTAAGGAGGCTTCATTGTTTCATCACCCCGGATCTTCCGAATCGCCCCATGAAGGGCGAACTTGTACATGCCAAGCTTGCAGCAGAAGACTGCTCGAAGCTTTCCTGCATGCCTTGTACAATACAGATGTTCGAACCAACTTAGGCAGGCTGCCAGATTACCCTCGTGTAGGAGGTAGTCCAGGCAAGCCTTGAAAGTCCACCCTGAAGTGCTCGAGGACCTAGAGGAATTGCAGAAGAGCAGTACTACGCAAGTTCCAAACACTGGCGTTGCCTCAAAAACGGGCCCGACCGCCAAAGCTCTAGATGCCTTCTTCCCAGGCGGCAAGTAAGCCAGGGCCCAGCCGGCTCCAGAGCCGGGCGCAAAGGCTCTTGTCTGGTCCATGTCATGGCGACGCAACGCATGCGGCCGTTGACAATACTTCCTGCGCAGCGTTTTCAGCATTCCGACTTTGTCTTGAAGATAGTTCAACTCATGGGTTTGCAGACTTCATGGCTCTTCAGTAGTGCTTAGGTTCCGTGTGTAATTATACCACACCGGCCAGCCAGTCGCAGTTCTGATCAGCCAGGGTCCTGAGCCTTTGGAAGACGTTCCGGCAATTAAAGCTATGGTGCCGTTGGCACAGCTCTTTAGCAACTTAGAGTACTCACAAAGCACCTTGTTGTCTTTTTTTGGGGGTTCCCCGTAGTTGCCATACGTTAATCATGGTTCACCCAGCCCCACCAGCCAGTCATGATGGCGTAGACAAGCGCACAAAGCTCGCCAGAGAAATCAACAACACTCGGTTGGCTATGCGCTGCCGCTGTGGCCAGCATGGCGCAGTTCATTGGAGCAGTGCGGCGACGTGAGGGATGCATCTAGGTGGCAGTTGTTGACGATTTGCTTGATGATTCTGAACGTGCCGAACTGCAACACAAAGCAAGGCCTTGTGCCATCAAGCTGCGGCTTCACGAAGCGCGTGGTTTGAACTGTGACCGCGACGAGGCCGTCTTGTGCTCTTCGCATGGCGGCGGCCTATTCTACCATCTCTCGTTCTCTGCAGGATGGCAAGTACGTCGAAGTTTCTTTTCACGATCATGTGCGGATGTCGCAGAGGAGTGTTGGCTCACCAAGCAACCCTGCATCTCGGCTGACATGTCAGAGGTGAGTTGAGCAAGCGTTGTGCATGGCTGCAGGTCTGGGGAGACTCGGTCATGTCCATCGAACTCACGGATGTCTCCTGTCTTTGCGTATTGTTTCAGCGAGAGACCGGCCGAAGCTGTGATTCGAAAACCTGCGGCGAACCCGAGCTGACTTTAAAAAAGTCGATGCTACTATCCTTTGCAGTCAAAAAGGAGGTGTTTACCACTTCTAACAAAGACATCCGGAGATTCGGCAGGTGTAGCTGGTACTGAAAAGAGGGGTGCTTTCGCACAACCCCTTTGATGCCTGCTGATCTTTCGATGGGTGAAGACTTGTATAGTTCCCATCAGCTCACGTGTGATTGATCTCCGCAGAACGGCTTCGTTCCTCATTGCCGGCCTTGCGTATGGCATGCGAGCCACGTCTCCAGCAAAGGACTTCCAACTGCAAGACTATCCTCTGCGCTTGGGAGTCTGCAGCTCTGATGCAGGCAAGGGTAGAGCACGACCGTGCCGGCAAGAGTTACGTATCGTTTCAATTTTCAGCCAGACTTCCCTGCACTTTCTGGTGCTGCTCGGAGGACCACCAGACCATGGCTTTGTCACCATCAACCTGGAGCAGATCCTGCACAGCCGCACGGAACTGGATCCAGATGAGCCTTTCTCGCATACGTGAAGCATTCGTGAATGCTGGGTAGCAGATGAACATGATCTGATGTCAATGGCATCAGCCGTCTGTGCACGTGACTTCTCAGGAAGTGGTGAGCATGAAAGGCTGGTTCCCGTTGTTCGACACCATGACGGGCGTGCGCGGGCACATTCTTGCAGCTTTCTCAGACAGATTCTCGAAGTCGTGGCAGGATTGCATTAGACACCGTCTTGTCAGGTTTCTATCAAGATGCAGTTTGTCGGGGATCAGTCATACAACGATCGCCCGGTGGCTGCAACGAAAGAGTTGCAAACAGTGAGCACATTTAGATCGCTCGAGCATCTGAGTGGTTCTGGGTTGCGGTAATGGTTCTTACTGTACGTGGTGTCTTCATTTGGCTGGTTGGGCAATTGGTAAAGTGCTCAAAGCTTCAGCCGCCTGGTGTGAACCAGCTTGATTCTCTGAGGCTTCGCCTCCTCTGTCGGTGTGCGCTTCTTCTCCATTGCTTGTCCCCCGCAGCCGCCACCTCAGTTCCCGTGAGTATATAGCAACCCAACCGCGTGATACAGGCAGCAGATGGCTTGACGAAGAAAAGCGGCAGAACCCAACGGGGGCCGCATGATGACCAACCTCAAGAATCCCCTCCTGCTTGCCAAGATTGCCATGGCGGGCTTGCACAGCAAGCTTGTCACTGCTGGTAAGAAATGTAGGATCACGCGGGAACCTGGTAACTTTGGGTACCGGGGTAATGGGACTGCAGAAGACTCTCATGTCCCTGTGCCCTCTGTGGCTGCCAGAGAGGCCCGGCGTCTTCGTAGTGGAGCAGGTTCTCGGCTTGGTGAAGGAGCTTCGTGCAGTTCAGGACCGTCGTGGAAGCAGCCTTCCGTTGCCTTCTCCTTCGTACTCGTATCCGGATCAATTTAGTCTAGGCCGTTGTCTTTTCAGCGAGAGCACCGCGAAGAGAAGCTTCAGGAACAACCTGTGGAACGGCCAGCAAGCAAAGTGTAGCCTGCTTTCTTCTGCTTGCTGACATGGGGAGCATGGCATGTGATGCCGAGGCTAGGGAGTTCCAGTCAGCTGGACCTTGCCATTCGTAACTTCGGAACAAGCAATGAGGGGCCGCAGGCCACGCTCAATCCTCGCCGAGCGCTTTCCTGCGAGCCCTCTCCTTCATTCACTTAGGCTTCACTCACTTCGCAGCCGGATGGGCAACTGCAGTGCCAGCATGAGTTCACAAAGCTGCAAGTGCAAGCACACATGCACCGGAGTCTGGTGTCCCTGCCCATGCAATGCCAGCCGACCGCGATCTCCAGGTGATCTTCGAGAAGGTTGATGCACCTAGCCACATCAAGAAGAAGTCCGAGAGAACGAAAAACATAGTTGCGGCCCATGGGTGGTGGTTTCCCGACATTCGACAGGTGACATCTCGGAAGCTGCAAGGCAAACGCATTGGCGGCGGCCTTCCACTTCACGCTTCGAGAGCCACAAGAATCTGTAGACTTCACCCCAAGCCGCTTCGTCACCTACCAAAACCCTGCATGTGGCCTCGTCCTAGGGGAGTAAGAGGCAAACAATCTGCTACTGCGTGCACACTCGGGGGAAGCCATTCTGAACAAGTCCCGGCAATCGGCATGGACACACTTTCATGGACTTGATGTTGTATCTTTGCACGTGCACATGGGGTTAAGCGATTAGACCTGGGCTCGCACTTCATGATACACCTCTTGTGCTGCGTGACAATCTCGACTTTGTTCATGCAATTCCAAAACCCTGTGCCGTTCGAGACCCTGAAACGCAAACTACTCGCAGCGATGGCGGGGGGTGTCCAGGGTCGGCGTTCGGCGAGTGGAAACGAGGTTCCGGTGCCGTCGTGTTATTTTTTGGCTCCGGCACTAGGGATGTAATGTGCCGGGCTTCAGGGTCCCTGTTCGTATTGCTATGTCTGCTCGAGAAAGCCAAGATCGGATAACCTGGAAATCAAGATGGCAGCCTGTCTCCTTCTTATATGAGCTGCTTAATTATGCGGCAGGGGTCCCGGTCGGACTGATTCCCGCCGAATGGAAGTACAGGCTTGAATAGGCCTTACAAAATGCAAAGTTGAATAGGTTTTTTAGGGAACTACGGTGTCGAAAAGGTGTTTAGAGAAAAAGCAGGGTTGAATAGGTTTTAAGAGCAATAGAGAATTGAATAATTTTTTCTTGCGACAAATGCATTTCTTTTGGTGTTTGTCTTGAGCGGGTGCTTGTGAAATCGTGCGGAATGGCTGGTTGTCGTGTGCTATGATGCCAATGATGTGTCAACAATGAAGACAGTCGCATTCCCGACTTGTCTGATTGCTGTTGTTATCTGTCTGAAAGCGCCTGCACATGGTGATTAGTTACCAAACTGGCAGACTTCTCAGGGCTCCGGGACATAATTTCCTAAGAAAGCCCTCGCGCGGCGCTAGAAGTTCAAGTTTTTGCCAGGAATGTGCTAGGAAGTGCCTGGACACTGGGAAAACCAGTAACTTCACGCGTTCCTGCGTGCCCATGCGGTGTCGCGACTTCACGGGCTCTGGGGGGACATGAAGCTACCCCTTGTACAATGAGCGCGTGGTGGAGGGCAGCGTGAAGCAGGTTGGCAGCCCAAGCCCGTACAAAGCGTCAGAAGCATATCGCCATCCACGCCTAAGAAGGTGTTTTGGGACGATTAGCTTAGTTGATTTTTCCACAAACAGGTACGGTTTGGGGTTCTTTCCTCAGAAAAAAGGTGGGCCGCGGTGGCTGGATGGGTGGCCAAGGCTGCACCCATCACTAAGCTCCCTTCATGTTTCGTTTTNNCAAAGAGGTTGGGCTCCCGTTCGGCTCCTTTCATGTTTGCTTTCTGGGCTCCTGGGTGGGATGGGTGGGCCGGGGCTGGGCTCCCATTCAGCTCCCTTTATTGGGATGGTTGGGCCCCTCCTGGGTCGGATGGGTGGGCCGCTGCCAACAAGCCGGGCTCCCGTTGAACTCCCTTCATGTTTCCTTCTTTCTG